GACCATTTGAGATCGCCATCACAGCAGCGCAACCTCGACCTCTCTTCAACCAGGTCGAGATCACCAGAACTTCGATGGCGTCCAACCATCGCATAAATTATAGTTTTCAAGGTTCGATCCTCAAACCTTAAAAACTAGGGGACTTCTGTTATGCCTTAAGAAAGCAGGGCTGATGTAGGCCAAGTTAGCATGCAAAAGTCAAAACCTAGGAAACCAGCAGCCGAGTCACGTGACGAAGGAGCAGTCTGCTTCTGTTAGTGTAATGGGCGCGTGCCAGGCCATCCAAAAGTTGGAGAGCTTCCACGTGTCCAATGCCTGCACCGAATCGCGTAAATCGCTCTGGAAGGTGTGCAATGGGACATAAAGGAAGATTTGTACGGATAATCCCACCAACTCACAGATTCAGCAATCATAACCTTAATCCATCCCACTATAAATTCAGAGTTCCTCTCTCAATTTTAGGATGAGCTAATCTCTCAAAGAAATAGCATATATTGTATCTCTCCCACTTGTAGAGTCAGCTCACTGACCGCGACCAGATCACTATCATTAATTTACATCAGTGGACGTAAGACTTGCTTCCTTAAGCATCCGAACCACTTTAAAAACTGTCTTGTTACTCTTTTTCTCTCATTTTTATCATTCACGTGTGTCTTCTGGACTAGCTTAGCATTTCACACGTGCGTTTAGTTGGTGTCAAAATCACGCATCAACATTATTATTATTATTAATTGGAATAAAAAGGTTTTAGTTTTAAGAAAAATTGTTATATTTAACAGAGCATGAACAAGTAGTGGCTGAAAGAAATATACTGAGGGATCAACTGGCTAGGAGAAATGAGGAAATTAAGAAGCTTAAAGCAGTTGTTGATTCTGCATTGAAGGATTTGAGCAATGTAGTTACTCGTTTAAAGGAAGTTTCTCCTTCTAATGAAGAAGAAGATGGAAGAAAAATAGCTCAGCAGCTGATATCCCCTGAAGTGAAATCAGCTAACAAATGTGAACCACAAAAAGTTGAGCCAAAAACACCTGAAGTAAGAGCAACAGGAAAACGTAGAAACGATATATGGGGACGGTCAAGCAGTGATGATTCATTGCCGCCTTCGAAAAAGTCTCATCTCAACTGGAGCACAAGTCAATACTTTCCTTAGATTTAGATTTTCTCAGGTGTTCGGGGGTTCTCTATGGAGTTAAAGTCTTTTTGCTATCAATAATACTATACTTACAAAGAAATCTTATAAAGATTTCCATACAAAGTGAGGTGGCAAAAAATGAATGGAAGAGTGAAACAAAAAAGTCAAACTTATTAAATTCACTCGTCTATTTATTTTTTGACACATCACTTTATATGGAGATTTTTGTAAAATTTCTTTATAAGTGTAGTATTACTCTTTTGCTATAGAGGATTTTCTCATTATACTTAGTTTAAAGCAATAATGTCGGCTAATATACCTCGCATCAGTTACTTATCGTTGACTCATTGAACAATAAAATCCATTTCTAATTAGAATATAAAACAAAAAAAACCCATGGCTTTTTCCCTCTAATTAGAAAAAAAAAAAAAAAAAAAAAAAAGCATAATTTAACCCTAAAATAAATTAAATTGAAATAAGAAATACACATACCTAAAACTGATAAAACAAAAAACGTAGCTAATTGTTGCACATTGAGTAGTGAAAACTTTAATAATTTCAGTCTTCAAAAGAGCAAATAGCATGAGAAAGTGAATGAGAGAAAGAGAGAGTAAAGAATTTTGGGATAAAATCATAAAAAATAGTTAGAGTCGTAGAGAGAGTTTTAAATTTGTAATATGATGTACGCTTGAAATATATATATTAATAACAAGTTTTTTATAGGCATAGAGAGAGTTTTAAATTTTTAATATGATGTAGGCTTGAAATATATGTATTAATAACAAGTTTTTTATAGGCCTAATTATATATATAATAGTTTTCGTTTTTTTTAAATCTAAGGGTGAGCTTGATATATATATTATTAATTTTTTTTTTTTAAATCTGAGGATAGGCCGAGGACTGGATTCGCCCCTGATGATGTTGTTGATTAATGATAAGATAAGTGTTGTTACATAAATTGAATTATAAGTTAATTAATATTAAAACATAGTATGAAATAATTAATAAATGTTAATGAGTTGCCACCTCTGTTGTTGAACTCTTAGCAAATTGTAGAGCAATCAATCATGTGTTACAAACGAAAATTCCGATCCTCCGTGATCCTTAGAAATTATTGAGATTTGAGTATCAATAAAAAGATAATGTGAAACTCAGTGTGATTCAATTTAAAAGGTACGAATTGTGACGGTTGACTTTTCAAAATGCCATGTGCTTTACCATGTATTGTCACATGGCATTCAACAATTAATAATTAATAAAACATTTAGGCTCCGTTTGGTTCGCTTTTGAGAATACTATTATTAGTATTCCCAAAAAAGTTAAACAGTAAAATGTCATTATTCCCAAAATATTATTCTATATTTTTCAATTTCTTTTAAACCTCCTAAATTTGTTAATTTAACTAAACACTCCCAACTATTTTTTTAAGAAATTGCAAAAACGCTCCGGCCACCCTCCGGCGGTGGTGGCCGGCTGTCCACATTTAATGGGTGGGTTAGAGGTGTTTTTGTTAACTCTTAATATTTTATTGAATAATAGGGGTGTTTAGTAAATAAATAAACATAGCGGATGTTTTTGTTAATTTCCAAATCCTACATCGTAATACTCGCCCAATTTAACTTTTTTCAAAATATTATTCTAAAAACCATCATAATAATGAACCAAACAGAGCCTTATTATTCGATGAATAGCACGTAGTATGAACTATTGACTTGTTTGCAAATGACAATTAAATAAGTAATCACATGGAGTTTATGTCTTGTTTAAATATATAGTAAACAATTTATGGTAATTCACATTTTAAATTTATTGATATAAGTAATGCATGTGATATATATACTAATCTTTGATTAATAACAGATGGGTTGTCCTATAATGATACCACACAAGATGAGTCACAAATTATTAGGACTTATCTTATACAAAATGAATAATATAATTAATTAATACACCGAATATCACCAATTGCATAATCACAAAATTTTATTGTTGACATTATACATTTATAAATACAAATTTGAATTTATGAATGGCGATTGATGCCATGTGCTTATTTCATGGCAATTTTCTTGTTCTCTCTCAATATATGTTGAAAGTTTAAGACTACCTAAGTTCATTTAAACATATGTGAAATAAGTTGATTGAGTTCATTTGTGCTCATGGGAATGATCATTCATCATTAACACATTACCAATCATTAAGGACATAAAGTAAAGCACATAAGAGGTTTTTACATGGTTAGGCAAATTGCCTACATCCATGGGATTGTTCAAACAAAGCAAATTCATTATAGTAAACATTCCAAATTCATTACAAAGTCGAAGTTAAGCAAAACAAATGTAAAACACTCCCTGTTTCATAACACCCTAACTCCACTCTTTGGTTGATCCAATGTTTTGTCACAGCTTGCTTGAATCCAAGAAACCTCTTGAATAGCTCGAGCTCCACTTAAGCTTCAAATGCCAAAGACAAACTTCAGCTCCACAATTTGAAATGCCTAGAAGCTTTCATCAATGGAATCATGTTCCAACAACACTCAAACAACAAAGTTAAGATAAGTATTTTGAACATCAAAAAAATAAAATGAACCTAACCTAAAATGAATAAACTCTTTGAAGAATTTCAGAGACCAACCAAAGGAATATTAATGTTTAAATGTAAATGCAAGGATGAAGAAGATAATATAGAATCCTTGCTCAACGATCCACTAAACATCCAGCCGACAAAGCCTTACACATGTTTGGCTATTTTAGGAAAGTTTTCAACAACTTATTAGGACCACTTCTGAAAAGACAAAACAAATTTTCAGGACCACATTTGAAATACTTGACACTTGTATTTGGACCACTCACCCATATTTCATAACTGAAGAAAATCCTAATAACCAATGAAAACTCAACATATGTACTAAAGGTCTGATTGGACAACTGATTACACATTTGACTGTAATGTGTTCACATATTTTGCGAGAAGATAAGATTAAGAAAATGTGCACACATTTATGCATAATGTTATGATGTGTAAACTACGGACACAAATTGTGCTCAATCAAATAAATGTGCAAACATCATATGGTTGTTAATATTATTAACTCATATTGACGGAGGCTCACGTCAGGGAGTTATATGTTACCCTAACGATCTTTTCAATCCATCTATTAAAAATTAAAACCTCAGGGTGCTCAATGTTATCAACTCATATTTATAATTACAATTTTAGATTTTGAATCAACATTATCCTGTTCTTCGGTCACAGAACAAAGATAGTGGACCATTAAATTCTCTGTGGCCTAACATAAGGGGTTGCTTCCACTTTGCCTCGAGTCGGTGGCAACTTTTTGTTCTTGTTAAACTTTTTGATCCCAGATGCTATAGCAAAACGGGGAGTTGTGTTCCGCTTCATACTTCATCTTATTAGCCTTTTCTAAGTTTGAAGCAACACCTTTATGTATTAAAGGTAATATAATACTTAAAACTTCACACCTTTATTCTGTGAAGTTTAATCAAGATTGTAAAAGAAACAAAACTCTAGGGATTGAATACAGATAAGAAAAACAAGAGAAGATTATTTATTTTCAATTGACTGAGAACATCTTCTATATTACAAAGACAGCAATCCAAGTGAACCCTGATCTCAACCGTTGGTTCATACAACAAGAAACACAAGTTGAGTGCGAGCAATTTGGAGGATCTGCTGTGCTTTCTGCACTAGTGATTAACAGGGCTCTTTCACCAGGAAGATGACAAGTCGTTAAACGGGAAAGATTTGAACTAACGCTTCCAGTACCAGAGTTAGAAAACTAAAGCTCTGAATTACATGGTTCTAATAAGATAGAATATATTAGATTATGTAAAATAAGTAAATAATGTCACCAATTTTCATTGACGGAATGTAACAATTCTCCATTGGCAGTCCAAGTTTTACCTACAAACATTAACGCTGTGAAAATAGCCATTACAGTTAAAAGAACAGGCACCCATAGCCACCCATCTTTGAAGACAATGAACATAGTTGCAGAAAACACTACCATCATTGCTTCTACGGAGTATGTAAGTAAGTTTAATCCCAAAGCCAAATCAACAGGTACCTGCCCATTGAAATCTGCTTTCTTCACATCGGGAAGAGATAATAACTAGGAACATTAGTACGGACAAATAGGACAATAGTAATGCTGAAGTATCTAATATTACAAAAACTACGAAGGAAGCTCTTCGAACAAAATGCGGAGTCCTTGTGTTTTCATTGGTGCCACCTAGTACAGTGAAAAGTGCAGCGAAAACCACGGTGGCAATAAGTGTTGACCCCATGATGCATGCATTAGCAATGTCCTTGGCCCATTTATCAGCTTTTGCCCTTAACTCATTGTGCTGTTCAGTAGATAAAGCTCTAGGAGTTTTCCCTTCATTATTTTTAGCTTCAGCTACCACTGGATGTAAAATTCTCTTCACTCTCTACAGCACTTACGAAACAACTATCAATCAAAGTAAATAAATATTATTTTTTCAAACCAAAGAGGCGAGTAAATTAATATTCACCTTGAACCACCTCATCTCAATTTGCATTTTATAATGTAATGCAAGCGATTCAATATCGGGTGTCTCTACTGGTGGCAACTTTGCAGCCAAATGCAAGATATTGTTCCCTTCTTTATTTGTGTCTTGAACTACCAAATTGTTAAATGGACTGATGTGATACATGGCGTTGAAAATGTTACGGCGAAGATACATAACAGCAACATGAAGTATGGTGTAATTATTTTCGTCAACTTCAAACATTAGGTCAGGATATCTGGAGAAAATTATATCTAGAAACCGAAGGTTTCCTTGTTTTGCAGCCTCGAATATTAGAGACCAAGGTTTTCTAATAATTTCCAGAATCTGGGAGTCATCCAAAACCAAAAGCATAACTTGTTTCCAAAGACATTCGACTAGTTCAAAAGCTGAATCGGGAATCTCTTGACCATTATCTGAAATAAGAAGTTTAGTTTAGCCAAAGCCAACATTAGTTTCAGAAAGTTGAGGATGAGGAAAATACCAGAGAGGAACTTGATTTATCTTCTTAACGAGACATTGAAAATGCTCATAGACAATAATTAACTTTTGTTAACTGAAATTTAATTCTATATTTTAAGTTACACATGAGAATTTTCATTTGTATTTAATATTGGGGTGATTCTAGTAGTGCACCCATAAATATTAAATACCTCCATTTTCAATATTTTTATACCTGACTGTTAAAAAATAATTAAAAACCTCGTCAAAGCTAAGGTATTAAAAAAAAAAAATTCAAACAAATACCCGCAATGCACTTGACTGTGCGTCTCATAAACCCGATCGCTCCAGCCCAGCCTTTTCCTTCTGCTTTGCTTTTTCTCATTCCTCTGTTGCTCCTTCTCATTCATTTGATCCCTCTCCTTCACTCGCTGCATCCCACGCATTGACTGACATCTCTTTATCACGTCTCTTTTTACTTCATTATTTGTTTTAAAACAAAATGAAATTAAGCACCTTTTCTCTTACTTACAATTATATATATTAATATTATGATTAAACAAAAAAAACTAATTAAGGCAATCTGAAAGTTATAATGATTAGAGAGAACTAACATAGGTAGATGGCTGAATTCTTGCAAACTTTAATGGCGTTGTAGTCCAAAATACGCGTCAGTACAGGTAATCGTGCCAAGCGATGCAATGCTGTCTCGTCATTTTTATCATGTGCAAAAGCTATCTATGGGTGCCTCTCCGCCAAATGCAATGCAACATCTAGGAGAACAATGATCACCATTATAAATTATATAGACTCAAGTTTACACATGTTGGATTCAGATATTTGCTAGCCCAAATATAAATATAAATACAAACCATGATTTATTAGTTCTAATTAATACTACTTACCATACCAGCTGCGGTTTATGAGGCTGATAAGCAATTCGATGTGATCATTATCATGATCTAATATCTCATCTGCAGTGGCTTCATAAAGGTATTCTACCGTCTCTTTATCTCCAATTAGAGTTGCCTTGTGGAGCGGTAAAATATCATTGTCTCCTCTAATCTTTACTATGTCTTCATTCTTCTTCATCATAGCCTTGACAATTTCAACCCTCTTGGACGCAGCTGCAAGAAAAAAGGCCGTATTGCTGGCATTATTTTTTACGGCTAAATCCTGTTTATTCATTTTTTCAAGTAGCTTTTTCACAAAATCAGTGTGCCCTTCTGCAACTGCAATATGGAGAGCGGTGCCCCCATCCTTTGATAGCTTAACTGGTATATCAATATCTTCTTCCTTATAAATTTTTTCGACAGTGTTCCAATCATCTTTCAATGCAGCCCAATACAATTTGAAGTGCCTACTTCTCCTTTCAATTTTTGTCAAGTTGAAAAAAGAACAAGTTTGTGCATAGAATTTTGGTTACACATTATAAAAGGGATGCTGTAGCCTATAATCAATATAACAAAAAGACTTTACCTTTTGAGAATGAGATAGAATTTTGCAGTAGCAGCCCTGTTTCTTCTTCAATCATGGAAGAGTCCACCGATACATTCACATTAAACTCTGATCATTAAAATTAAAAGAAGATAATTAAGTACAGTTAACAAAGGTTACAGGTAGGTTTCTGATATATAAAAAGTTTATTATGTTAACTTTGTAATTCCTCCTGATAAATTTGAATAGACCATTATAACCTATTAAAGCAAATTTTTTTTTTTTTTTAAAATTATGTTAAAAAACATTTATGGATAGATTAGTAGCCATAAATAAATATATATATTAAAACAATTTTTTTTTTAAATTATGTTAAAAAAACATTTATGGATAGATTAGTAGCCATAAATAAATAAATATATAAATACATATATATATAAAAGGAAATAATAAATGCAATAAGTGATATCAATATGTGCAGGTGAAGATATCAGGGACGTCCTATAAAATAGATAAAATGGTCACATGGTTTGTTATATAAGTTTTGATGCATGTACTATAGAATTATATCTTGTGTGCTAATATGAATCTTCTATCTTTATTTTGTTAGAGTCTCATACTGACTAGGCGCACTCAAGTCTACTAGTTTACAAGAGGAGATAATCCTCCCATTCAACAAGGCCTTATTGGATGAGGAGTCAAGCACACGTCAAATTCTATCATGATATTCTTATTGGATGAGAAGTCAGACTCACCTCAAATTCTATCATGGTATCAGAGCTAGGCTCAATCAAGTTGAGTGCTTGACTAGTGGGTGAGAAGTTTGAGTTAGCAACTACCTCCATCAATAAGCATGACCTAACATATGAGCTTGACCTTGAGGGAAAGTATTAGAGTCCCACACTAACTAGGCACGTTCAAGTCTATTGGTTTATAAGAGAAGGTAATCCTCTCATTCAACAAAGCCTTATTAGGAGAAGAGTCGGATATACCTCAAATTCTATCATATCTCCTTAAAGAACAAAGAGCCTCAAAGTGACATATCAATTTCCCCCCAAAATTGGAAAAAAAAAAAAAAAATGGATATTCCTTGCCTTTGATTTATATGAATTTTATAACAAAAAAAAAAAAAAAAAAAAAAAAGCGTTTTACTATTGAGAGATTCAATTTGACACATGATCATCTTAAGATGAGAAAGTGGTCGGTACATTTTGTTGTAATAAAAAAATCTAATGATTAAACAAGTATATATATTTTACTTGGATTGATGTGATATATAAACATTGGCTAATCGTATTATACCATTATGCATATATATAATGCTCTCTTATAATATAGAGTGAATCAAGAATAGAAAGAGGAATTTGTGAAATTAAGCATCAATAAAAATTTAATATCTATTTTTAACCCTGGAACTTCATAATTACATTAAAAAAATAGAGAGATTAATGGAAAAAAATTAACGCGAACTTAGACACTAAATGATATTCAGAAAATGCATCTCCAAAAAAAAAAAAAAAAAAAAAATAGCTACGGCATTCATTGCAATGTCAAATTGTACCATCCATTTGTTTATTAGGTGGAACAATCACAATCTCAACATTTTCTTCAGTTGAGGTGCTTCCTGAAGCAGTAGTGTAATCCTCCATGATTTATTTTCTCGTTTATTCGTGGCCTGTAAATCTACAATGAACTTTGTAAGTATTAGACAATGAATATTGCAGCATAATATGAACTTGATGTTCTAATTGGATTCAAACTGGGAATGAATATTAATTAGAATAATAGTCATTCATCTAAAGTACTTCAAGATCTTATATATATGTAGGATAATAAGAAAAATCTTTGCTACTATAATAAATATATATGCTCATGCAGCAAACTGAAAGAACAAAAATAATGAGTCTAACTTAAGACTCTACAAGTCAAAGAAGGAGAAGAAGAAGAAGAAGAAGAAGAAGTTGGTTGAAAGACTTGCCTCTTTTGGCACCTTGGATACAATTTGCAGCTAGCTAAATTTATATTAAAAAAATGCCTGAAGTGAAGAGTAAGAGAAGAATATAGAGCTCAAATGGCCTAAAATGAAGAGTAAGAGAAGAATATAGAGCTCAAATGGCTTGAAGTGAAGAGTAAGAGAAGAATATAGGGCTCAAATGGCTTGAAGTGAAGAGTAAGAGAAGAATATATAGCTCAAATGGCCTGAAATGAAGAGTAAGAGAAGAATATAGGCTCAAATGGCTTGAATGAAGAGTAAGAGAAGAATATATGGCTCAAATGGCCTGAAGTGAAGAGTAAGAGAAGAATATAACGCTCAAATGGCCTGAAGTGAAGAGTTAGAGAAGAATACATGACTCAAATTGCCTGAAGTGAAGAGTAAGAGAAGAATATAACGCTCAAATTGCTTGAAGTGAAGAGTAAGAGAAGAATATAGGGCTCAAACGGCCTAAAGTGAAGATTATATTTCTCAAGGCCTCGTAAAAGGAATTCATGAAGTCAAGCAGAGTCATAAATGACCTATTCTCTTTCAAAGTGAAGCAGATGCTAAATGATGATAACATTTCCTAAGAAGAATTCCGGGATTTCTGCGATTTGTGTCTTCCTAAAGGAGAAATATTATGTCTAATTAAATTCCCATGCAGGATATATTGAAGTGTTTGAGTGATTGAGCAATAGGATAAAATGCTGGGATTTGTTAATCATGATTTGATAAATTAAATGAATCTTGTTCATTACTCAGCATTTCCAATACATAATGAAAAGATTATTTTGCAATGAGCTAATACAAGTGATGATTTGAACTAGAAAAAATACTAAAATTATACAAATGACTAATCATATCAGAAAGAAGGGGGAATTGGAGCAGAGGAAATAGGGTGACAGGAACACAAGCAACAGTGGCTATGGGAATAGCTATCCACGAAAAGTCATCACTTAGGACAATGAAAAGAGTGGCTCCAAAAGCTGCCATCATGGTTGCTATAGAGATGAAGAGAGCTGCAAGCCCTATTATCAGCTTGTTTGGTAATGAATGCATGAAATCTTCTTCTACATAGCGTGAGGTGAGAATGGAAAGAAACATCAATATTGAACTGGCAGAGCAAAATAGTGCCATTGCATCCGATATGGCGAAAACCAAAAATGACCCGTGATGTAGAAAAAAGGCTTCCCTATAATATTTTTATTGCCACCTGGTATAGTGAAGGCTGCTGCAAACATCATGGTTGCAATAAGTGTTGCGACAACCATACATGAAGATGCAGTGTCTTTCATCCACTTTTCCCCTTTGCGAACGAGTCTTCTATGCTCCTCTGAAAACAAAATATGAGGTGTCCTACCCTCAGAATTTTTGGTTTCTCTATAAGACGGTTGAACAACTTTTTCGACTTCCTGCCATATCAAAAGGACAGTTCATCAACATTCAAACCCAGAAAGAAAATGGTTAATTGAGTTCAGGTTTTGCTTCATTTACATGTTATTTCCCAACAAAACTAATTACGGTGAAGTGCAAGTTTTATAGTTGAAAAGTAATTATTAACCTTGAACCAATGCAACTCTCGTCTAAGTTGCAAAGCTGCACCAGAATCAATTTTGAGTCTATCTTGGTGGGCAAGCTTTCCAGCCAAATGCAACATGTTATTGTTATTTTCATCTTCATAAGCAGTATCAAATCTTTATGAGCGCCAATCTCATGAATCAGATTATAAATATTTTTTTGACGATGCAACACTGCAATGTGAAATATGCTTCGACTGTGATCATCTACTTTCCAAATAAGGTCAGGATACATCCGAATCAGCCCTTTTATGAATTCAACATTCCCTAACTCTACAGCGGTAAACAACAGTCTTGAAGGTTTCCGAAGTAGTTCTCCAATTTTATAGTCATCTAGCAACAACACTTGCTCCCACAGTTGCTTCACCAATTCTAGAGCTTGAAGATGCATCAACTTTTTGTCAAGGATTGCCCTGAAACGTGGAACTGAATATGCAGGACACAGTCGCCTCTTTGTCCAAAATCTGTTATTTTTTAGAAGGAATAAATAAGCAGATAACGATTAATGTGCAAGAGTAATGGCAGTGAGAAATGGCCTGTAATGGAGTTACTAACAAGAGTAAATGCACCTCTGCCAAATTCCAAGCCGACTTCCACTTACAAATGCTGAAGGCTTCCGTGCCAAAACATGAAGAGCCGTCTCTCTTCTTCCATCTCAAGCAACATCTAACTCAGGATGATGCTTAATTAGGTCCAATGCCACATCTGTTAAATTAACACAACACAGTCATCAATTTGCTCCCCTAGAAATTATAAATTAAGTTGCAACATGAAAATAGTGAAGGTAAGAGGTGGGTACCATAGAGGCCTGCATTGATGATAGCAACAAGAAGCTCAACACGATCTTCTTCTTTTAGATACTCTTACTCAGTCACAGAATAAAGATACCAGACCATTTCTCTGTGGCCTAACAAAGCAGCCATACACAACGGGGTTGCTCCCATATTGCCTTGAATTGATGGCAACCTTCTGTTCTTATTAATCATCACCTCTGCAATCTTTTTGATTCCGGATATGGCAGCAAAACAGAGGGCTGTGTTCCCAACCTTGTTCGGCAGTGCCAGGTCTTACAGGTTTCATGATGTTCACAAGCTCTTGGACAAATATTGTATGTCTAGCTCCAGCAGCAATGTGAAGAGCTGTTTCCTGGTTTCTCGTGATGCTAGGACATACTGCTTGTGGATTCAAAATCAAAAACTCCCTTGCAAACTCCCAATCGCCTTTAAGCGCCGCATTATGCAGAGGAACAAAAGCAGTAAAGTAATTCCTTTGTGCATCACCTACAAAAAAGAAAAAAAAAATAGCAAGACCATGAGAGCCATGCTAGAGTATTTTTATTTCTCCATCATATAATTTACATGAGTGTTATTTGGAGGAAATTGAATGAAATTTGCAACAGCATACCAGTCTCTGCTGCTCGTGTGTTTGTTTCCGCAGAAATAGAGGGCATTTGATTGCTTGAATCATGAAAAGGCCATATTGATGGATCTAAAACGACATGGTCATCAAATCCTTTAGCTTCCAGAAAGTCTACTGGGCTTTTTACAGCTTGATGATGTGGTTGAAGATGAGAGTGTTGAATATCAGAGGCAAAATTGAAGGAAGATTCATGATGGCCATGATCAAATGTTGCTGGCCCAAAAGCATCTTTCAGGCTCCAGTCATCGTCAGAAAATATGGCTAAGCATGCATCATCTTCCCCAGAAGATTTGCAAGAGGAATTTGCAACAGATTTGATCTCAGGGAAACAAGATTGAATTGAAAGTCCCCTCCCATACTGTGATGAAGGAAGGTTGTTCAATATCATTATCTTCAATGAAAAGTACTGCCTGCGAATAAGCAAAATCAGTAGTATAACAAAAAGAACAACAAAATAATGTAGTGCTTTTTTAGGACATTGCCGTTTCTGGTTCTGAGCAGCTCAATCAAATAAAAGACTTTGAACCTCCAAGCAGCTACAAGATTGAAGGTTTTTGGAGCTGGAGAATTCTAAGGAAAAACTGCTGTTGTGATGGCACACACACTGAAAAAAAAGTTACAAAACGGGAATGCACTTTCATTGAACAAAAACTGAATATAAAACATGGTTTGCACTGCAGTTACACCTACTCTGCAGTAGACTTACAATCAAAATTAAACAGCCATACTTTACTAACTACTACAAACACATCACATTACATTAACACCAAATCAACAGCAGATTTTTAGCTGAATTTACCTAAGATATACATTATAAAAATCAAAGAAATGCTGGTGCATTACGGTAGAAGCTAACAGCAACAAAACACCAGATTTTTGCCGCCAGAACATGCAGCTCCAGTACTTCAAAATATTGACCAACTTCATGACCTTCCAGCATAATATCATTTGATCAACAAAGATGAATTATAAATCCAAAGAGGAAGAGTTATAAAAGCAAACATGTAGTGCCGTAAAATGATTGGAAAGAAGTTTGGAATGTCAAAGGCAAAAGTTGAAACAAAGAGTAAAGTTATTTTCTTGTGTTGGAAAACTGATGGTTGCGATCTTCTTCCACCAACTTCATTAACGCTGCCTCGTTTTCTTTTAGCTCTTACTTATGAAAATCTTAACGAATTGATTTGACCCACGTATGCAATTGGATTGATCAACGCTTTCACACTAAACTTTATACGTATAATTGAAAAGACTGACACTGTTGCTTTCTGAGAAAGTTCAAAGCGTGATATTAAGAGATGGGACCGCTTGGCTCTTGGTTCTCGTTCTGCCGTTCGCATTGACTGGAAAAGTCTCTTACGGGGATCTTTCCATGTAATTCAATGACAATTACTTGGAATATTTTTACCTTCTCAAATCTCAACCTTTAACTCTTGAGTATCAGATTCAATATAACAATAGAAAGTAAACTTGTACAATTTTCTGGTCTAATCAGAACAATGTAGCAATAGAAAGTTAATTTTCTTTAGCACTCAACTTTTCTTACATTCAAAATCTAAGGATTACATAAATGCCATAATGTCTTTCAAAATACAGTTAGAATTTGAAGCAGGCTGTAGAGGGTTAACCTTATTTGAAGCAACGGCCGCTCGGCCCCTTTTATATAAACCACATAGTCGTCTTTTAGATAAACAAGTATCTTAAAAGCATACATTTAGATTTCTTCACTGTCACTCAAAAGACCCTTCTTCATGTAAGGACTTGAAGAGAAAACTGTAGTCAGAAATTTCTGCATGAACTTGTAGACTGGCAAATAAGCCATTATGGTGACAAGAGTGGGAACAATAGCATCCCATCTTTGAAGATGATGAACATAGTTGCCACTGATAAGGCAAGTGTGTCTGATCCCACAGCCATATTATGAGGCAATGGCAAAAGGAAATCTTCTTCCACATATCGGTAATGGAAAACTGATAAGAAACTTAGAATGGAGAAAGAGGATAAAACTAGCGCTATAGCATCTGATATGGCAAAAATTATAAAGGAAGCTTTTCGAACAAAATTAGGAGTTCCAGTCTCTTCTTTGGTGTCACCTGGTACTGTGAAAGTTGCTGCAAAAACTACAGTAGCAATAATTGTTGCCGCCATCAAGCATGAATTTACAGTGTCCTTAATCCATCTCTCAGCTTCATCCTTTAACTCTTTGTGCTGTTCATTAAATATAGCTCTAGCAGTTTTTCCTTCTTTATTTGTAGCTTCAGCATCCAATAGATGTAAAATTTTCTCCACGGCCTACAGAAGTTAGTTATGGAACATTTATTAATCAAGGACAAGAAATATATTGTTTTACCAAAACGAAAGATTGAAGTAAATATTCACCTTAACAGCAACAGCTCCCCTCGCAGTTTGGCAAGAATTCCAGCTGATTTGATATTGGGACTATCAGATGGTGGCAACCTTGCAGCCAAATGCAAGATATTGTTCTCTTCATTATCTTTGCTCTGAAGAACCAAATCCTTCAATGAGCCTATCTTATATATGATTTTGAAGACGAGTTGGTGACGATACAGAACAGCAAAATGAAATATGCGGCAGTTATTTTCATCAATTTCAAATATCAGATCAAGATAAGTATCCAGGAGTAACCTTAGAAACTTAATGTTTCCTCGTTTTGCTGCCTCAAATATCAGTGGCCGAGGTTTTCTAATAATATCTAAAATGTCAGAGTCACCCAAAAACATTACGGGGCACCGGTCACTGAAACAGAAAGTTTGGTTAAGCCAACATTAATTTGCAGAAAAATCAGTAACTTTGCTGAATACATAATATGATTAAGTAAATAAAAACCGCTGATACAAAAAAAGAAAAAAAAAAAAAAATCCAACAAGAGTACTCACGAGTGAGGTCCCTCATCCAAGACCTCCAAGTCGGACTTTTCCTCCACTCTCTCCCTCTTCTTCAACCGAACCGTCCAGCCCAGCTTATTATTCCTCCTCTGTTTCTCCGTTTCCTTCACCCACAGCCTCGCCCATGCTGAATAAAGTGTCTTTATCATGTCACTTGTATTTTAAATAACTGCTTTGACAGCAAGAAAGCACATTGTTTCTTACATACAATTGCTTCTGATTGTGAAAACGGATAGTTTAGTGTTGTTGATGCTCGATTCTGCACCAACGAATTTTTCACGTGTATAATATCAAGTGACTGTTTGATGTACGTGAAAATAGGGTATCAAGAAAGTAAAATAGCTGTAGAGGGAGTTTTTAAGTGGTTCGGATGCTAAGATAGCAAGTCCTACGTCCACTGATTTGTATTGATATTGGTGGGTGTCAGGTCGCGGTCGCGAGCTGACTTACAACAGACGAAAAGGTCAAAGCAAAGTTTACAAGAGAGAGAGATTTCTGTTTGTTCTTTTTTATGTTAAATGGCCGAATCCCCCTAATGAAGGGGCCTTCCCTATTTTATACTGAACTGAAATGTATAATCATTGCTAAATCCGTGGTTTGGTGTGATTGTCAGTGTATAATCAGGCTTTATGTCCCATTTCCCTTTTTCCAAGCTGACATTGCACGACTTGTGGCAGGAGAAAGGACGCGTGTGGGCTCCACACACTTGACAGGTCTGACGTGTGCGTGTTGCTCTGACGGGAGCAGGTCGCTTCACGTGACCTTCCCACGTCACCTCTTTATTTCCTTAGGCATAACAAGTGTCAAAATGAGAAAGCATTGTTTAGTGTTTTAGAGTAGTGGTGGTGAGTTACAAAGTTTAATCATAGATGTCAGATGGAAAAACAAATTTCGCGATAGAAATCACAATAGGAAGTCAGAATAAATCAAGGCATGCGAAGGCATTAAAGATAAAAAGAAACAACATTGTTGAATCACTCTTTCAAAACTCCAGCCACTGGTCGATCAAGAAAACGCATACTACAGGCATGCGAGCCCAGGAATGCAATGCCGTCTCCTCATTTTTATCTCGTCTAGTGGCCAACCTGGGTGCCTCCTTACAAAATTGAATGCAACATCTACGAAGAAAAACAATCAACATCATGAATAATAAAACTAGATCCAACCCATCTTTAAAAAACCTATCTTACATCCAAGATAATATTATGAAGGAAAACACCTGGAATACCAAGAAAATATAATGTCAGTTATTTTGCCATTTATTATCTTCCCTGATGTCATTTATCTTTATGGTCTATTGATGGTGATTAAGTTGAATATCTATGTGTAATCTGGCAGTATTATATTCCTCTTTATATAGATGAGGATTTTTTTATTGATTAGGTCTGTCAGATCATTTGTCCGTTAGTAAGAAAATTACAATCTTCTCAGCCAAAAGATGTTGAGAATGACTTAGTTTAGCCCAAAAATAAAAGATAGGACTTACCATACAACCTACGGTTTATCAGACTATAAGCAATTCGATGAGATCATTATCATGATCTAATAATTTGTATCCAGAGGCTTGATAAAGGTATTCTACCATCTCTTCGTTTCCCAAGAGCTGCCTTGTGAGTGGTAACATATCATCTTCGCCTCGAATCATCACTAAGTCCATGTTTCCATCATAGCCTCAGCAATATCAACCTGTCTGGAGGCAGCAGCAGAAAAAAAAGCTGTGTTGCAACCTTATTTTTGATAGTTAAATCCTCCATTGCATCTGTTCAAGCAGCTTTTTTACAAAGCCAGTGTACCTTGCTGCAGCTGCAAATGGAGGCGGGGTTCCTTCCTTTGATAGCTTAGCTGCTATATAATCTTTATCTTCCTCGTAAATTCTTTCAGCTTTATTCCATCACCTTTAGGTGCAGCCCGGTACAATTGAAGTGCCTAATTCTTCTTTCATTATCTGTAAGTTGAAACAAACAAATTTATGCATAAAATTTTTGTATACATAATGTGCTTCTCCACATGTATCAGTGTATAATTTAGGTATAACCATGTAAGAAAGATTATATTAATTAAATCTAGTGACAGATTATATTAAATTAAATCTAGTGACATTTATTTACTTGAGAAAAAGAGGCCTATATCCTATAATCATATATAATAAAAGACTTTACCTTCTGAGGATGATGTAGAATTTATTACCAGCACAGGTTCTTCTTCTCTAGTTGAAGATCCAATTTGTTTTTGGTTAACATTCCCACATAGTACCATTGAGATTGAAGACTCCTTCGAGACATCCACATTAAACTCTGATGATTCAAAATAAAAGAAAAATAGTACTGTTAGCAAAATTTAAAGAATTGGTTACATGAAGGATTGTAAAAGGGTATGTATTCAGAAAAGGAAGATATTAGCATTCATTCCAATGTCAAAACGTAACAGCCAGTTTCTTATCAGGTGGAGCAATCACAATCTCAACTTTTTCTTCAGTTGAGGTACTTCCTGGTGTAGCATTATCCTTCATGAGTCCTGATTAGTGGTAAATCTACAAGAAAAACCTTATAATGTTAGTATTAGAAAATGAATTTTTGTAGGATAAGATGAACATTATCTTATTATTATTATTATTATTACTTCGGATAATACTATATATTATATATCTAAGAAGTACTAGTTTACAAACTTTTGAATACGAACATATATTCCCTAAACCTTTACATTTTAAGCCATAGAAATGTCGCAATAAAACAAATGGATGAAACATTTTAATTAATGCTCTACATTTTAATTGATCCACACATAATTTATCACATATCTTGACATGTCATTTATTTACAGTGGAATGTGTTACTTTAAGAAATATATGGGTTCCTTCTTATATGAAATTTCAAGGGAAAACAATAGTTTTCCTAAATTAAGGATGTTGTACGAATGGAATTAAGTTGTTAAGGACCACAGTACCCTTATCCACTTGATAGTTGATTCCAGGAGGGCTTTCTAGATCAATTCCAGGAAAGATGAGGAAAAAAAAATAAAAAATTGATTTCATAGAATAATTATTTGAAGATTTAGCTTATAGAATAACACAATCATTTATCTTAAGTAATGAGTTTAACTTAACACTCCACAAATCAAAGAAGAAGAAGAAGAAGAAGAACTGGGCTGAAAGAGTTACCTCAGTTGGTGCCTGGATGGAATCTGCAGCTACAGAACGGAAATATTGAGAAAGAAAGGCCTCACAGTCAAGTAAAATAGAAGAAAGGAAGAGCTCAAGTGAAGTGGAGTCTTTAGAGGAAATTTAGCTGCCCGGCCATCCCAAGTTTCGATTTAAGAAAATGGCCTTGAAACTGTTTTTCATTTTTTTTTTTTAATTTAGAGAAGATGACGTGGCATAGTTAGGATTAATTAAACAAGTAAAAGGGGTTAAAATGAAAAGATTAAAACGTATAAGGACAAAATCATAATTAATGAAAGTTTTGAAAATTTGAAATTTGAAAAAGAGCCCCATCCATTCAAATCGCTTAATCGAAACTGACTAACTAAGGCAAAAATCGATTTCTTCAAACCGTAAACGCATTCTGAGCAATTTCCGACGATAACAGTCCACATTCCTACAAATTTTCAAACCCAAATTCAATCCTAAAGCTTCTTCCTTTCTTAAAACAATGGCTGACATTCATAATGACGAAAAAAACCCAACGCCTCTTCGAATCGTAGAGTCCGGCGGCGCAAGCAGTTCAATGGCTGTTTCGATGGATATTCCGATCAGTGAAGGTGTTCCAGCAGTGGAGATGACGGCGGCACAACAAGAGAGAGAACAGGAGCAAAACGATTCTGGCGAGGAAGAGGAGGCCGACCAGAATTCAAGCGAGGAAGAAGAGTCCCATGAGAGTTCAGGCGAGGAAGAGGAGGCCGCGGAGGAGGAGGGGGCCGCCAAAGAAAAGGTATCTGTACTGTCGCTTAAGCGATGTAGGATCACTTAAGCGATAATGTACGAAGCATAATGAACATCTAACAAGACCTAAGATCACTTAAGCGATCCTTTGTATCGCTTAAGAGATTGATGGCTTTTACTTTTGGTCGCTTAAGCAATTTAGGATCGCTTAAGAGTAAAAGCAATGAATCGCTTAAGCAATATAAAAGATCGCTTAAGCGATATTAAAGCGATCCTAGATCTGGCAGATGTTGATTCTGCCTCCTAGAAGATCTCTTAAATGATCTATAATTGCTTAAGCGACCCAAAGTAAAAGGGATGAATCACTTTTACTCTTGGTCGTTTAAGCAATTACAGATCGCTTAAGAGTACAAGAGTTGAATCGTTTAAGCGATACAAGGTATCGCTTAAGCGATCTTAGGTCTGGCAGATATTGATTCTGCCTCGTAGAAGATCTCTTAAGCGATCTGTAATCGCTTAAGCGACCCAGAGTAAAAGGGATGAATCACTTTTACTCTAGGTCGCTTAAGCGATTACAGATCGCTTAAGAGTAAAAGAGTTGAATCGCTTAAGTGATACAAACTTAGATCTGACAGATGTTGATTCTGCCTCGTAAAAGATCTCTTAAGCGATCTGTAATCGCTTAAGCGACCCAGAGTAAAAGCGACTTATCCCTTTTGCTGTAGATCGCTTAAGCGATTATAAATCGCTTAAGAGTGAAAGGGATGAATCGCTTAAGCGATACTTTGTATCGCTTAAGCTATCTACACTACAAGAAATATATTATATTGTGACAAAATTAATTTTATCAAAAGCTATTTCGTCACAAGTAATATAGGCATTATGACAAAATAAAAAAAATCACATTAAGTATGACAAAGGGAATATACAATGACTAAAAAAAATATTGTCATAATATTTTATCACAATAAAGAAATCCATAATAAATATATTGAAGAACAACAATTTTATCTTAATATTTCGTCACAAATTTTTGGCACCAAATTTTGGCACCTAGGTAAATTTTTTATCGTGACAAACATATTTTGTCATAAAACATTTTAGTTACTATATTTAGTTATACATATTATAGCTATAAATTATTTTTTCATAAAATAATTTATTTATTGCTACAAAAATAAATTGTCATAATATATGCTGAAATAGAGATATTAATGACAAAATGTTTGAGTTAAAATTTAAGCACCAAGGTAAATTGTTTGTTGTGATAAACATATTTGTCATAAAAAACCTTTGTCACTATATTTAATAATACATGCTATAATTACAAACTAATTTGTCATAAAAGAATTATTTATCGTTACAAAAAAAAAAAAAAAAATTAAATCATTTATAAATGTTATAATGGAGGTATTAGTGATATAATATTTGAGTTAAATTAAATATGATATTTTGTGACAAAATTTGGTAAAAAAAATATATAATATGGTCTCCTTTAATTTGTATTTTTAAAAACTCAAAAAGGCCAAAATTGTAAAAATACAAAATCATTAATAATTTTATAAATGTAAATATTATGTATCATTTTTGGCTTTAATGATAAAAATATTTACATTTTTGGCTTTAATGTTATAGACTTAATATTTGAATCACATGTTAAATATTAATGTATGTATTACAAGTTTACATCAAAGATTAAATTACAAAAATAAATCGATTCAATCATGATTACAAAAAGGGAAAAAGAGAAAAATTGACTTGGGCAAAAAAGGGAAAGAGGGAATGTCTTTACGAACTCTCCTTTGATTTTCCTAATTTTCTTCGGTGTTACAATGAAAAAGGGAAAATTTGAATTGGGTGAAGTGAGCCGCCTTTGGTCTCTTCTTTTCTTTGTAAAATTGAATTGGAAAAACCAAATCCTGAAAGAAGAAAAATAAAACGCAAGAAGGAGAAGAAGTAGGGAGAGGGGACAAACACTCTCTAAAACGCAATTGTTTCCCTCATATTTCAGCTGTGAGTTTGTATTTATATATAGATAGACATGTAGAACAAAATGAATATATATAATTAGTAAAGAAGAGAAATAGATAAGTAGGTTTGCTTGAGTCGTTAAAGGACAGAATTGAGAGAAGAGTACACTGGTTTGAATCCCGCAATATCGTTCTTTTAAAAAAAAATGGTTTTTTTTCTGTGGTTTTTTTTTTAATTATTTTTTTAAAATGGTTTTTTCTTTGCTCTTTTTTTTAAAAAAAAAAATTATTTCATTAATGTTTAGCAGCTCCACAATAATTCTTGCACACAATTTATTCTTAATTTGGAAAAAGAAAAGAAAAAAAGAACCCATTTTAGCATATTAGAATCTATCCTAATCCAATAAAACTACAATGAATAATCTATGGTTTATGCTTCTTATATAGACTTACAAGCTATCCTAATTCCTAATCTTGAAAGAATTCTAATGATATAATATCCTAATTTTGTAATGAGTTATATTCTTCATCATACCTAACAATACTTAATCCTAATACTACTCAAACTTCTAATAATAACTTTAGACTAATAAAACTTGACTAAATTAATTAATATCAGAAAACGACCCTCCAACCAATATTTGATTGATGAATAACATAATTTTTATACCATACAGGCGGTTGTCTCATCCATTTTGGAACACTTTCATTCTTTTGGGTTGTCACGTACTAAAGTATATACAATATATGATCATATGAAATTAGAAAATTGAGGTAAATTATGCAATTTAAGGAGGTAAATTATGCAATTCAAGCTATCCTTAAGATAGGTGTTTGATATATGGTTTAGTTAATATCCTATTTAATTTAATGCCATTTCTAATTTATTGCAGCAAGAACTCAATTGAGTGATTGATTTAAACTTCTAATTTTATAAGGCGAATGAGAATATATATGCATGTAAATGATGAATATGTATTAGCTTGAAATTATAACAAAAAATCAATTACAATATTTATAGTTATGACAAATAATAATATATATTTTATATATTAAAGATATTCATTTTTTTCTTTATAAACATAAGTAATTGATTAATTAAAGAGATATCAAAACTTGAAAAAAGCTTGATTGAAAAGTTTGGGTCAATAAATTTATAAAAATTATGAAAGGTTGAATAATATAATTTATGTTGGATATGATGAATAATAATATATATTTTATGTATTAAAGATAAACATTTTTATTTTTATTAAAAATTAGTCTATTAAATAAAAGAAAAAATTAAGTTTTTTAAACAAAAGAAAAAAAACCAATTTTTAATAATTAAGGGAAAAATCAAATTTCCAATAAATAGAAAAAAATAGCTCAACCCGTTTATATCTTTTTTCCCCACCCCACCACCTCAAAAACTCCACCCCTAATTTGGTCCTCGCAAGTGAGGATTCACTTCTTTAGGTCATCACGACGATGCCTGTAAGCATCCCTAAAATCTTTTGTTAATCTAGGTTTTGATTCTTATTTGATTTATATTTTAATTTAGTCATCATATCACATGCATTTGGTATATTTGCGATTTTGGTCTGTATTTTGAAGGATTCTGTGATTCAATTTTGTTTTTTGTTCTGTAATTCTGAGCAGGTTGTCTTTAAATAACTGTAAGTGGGCATTGTCCTCTGA